TGCCGTGGACGCGGGGTGCAGGTCCCCCGACTGGGCTCCTTTCACGTTCTTCAGGAGCGCACGTGGGGTCGGTCTGGACTCGGCTGCGGGGCTGCTCGAAAATGTCAGCTTTTGAGCTGACTGAGAAATTGTCTCGTTTTCCCAATTTCAGAGAGCGCACACCAGCTCTCTTTATTCGGGAGCTGTTTAATCTTGCCCCGGGTTTGTCTGGGCATCATCATTATCATTGCCTACGTGAAGAAGCCAAAAGACGGAGCATTCCAGCCCGGGTGCCGCGGGCTCCCCAGCGGTGGGTCCCCGTCCGGGCTCCCCCGTGGGCTCCCTCCCCTGGCTCCCCAGCGGTGGGCTCCCCAGCGGTGGGCTCCCCAGCGGCGCGAGCTCCCAGCTGGAGCGGCTGAAGTAGAGTGAGTGACAGCCCGGGCTGGGGGCGGGGCCGGATGTGCGTCAGGACAGGGCGGGACGCTTGCCCGGTCTTCCGGGTTTCCAACGCCCCGCCCCCATGAAGCCCCTCCCCACGCGGCGCCGCCTAGAAGCCAACTTGGTACTTCTGCGCTGAGTACCGGGACCTCTGGACTGAGGGACGATCTGCCCCTCAGCCACCTGAAGGGTGGCGCGCTTTTTCCGACATTCTCTTTTCCTGGCTTGGCTCTTGGAGACTCGCTGGGGGCCCGGCGCGCTCACCAGAAGAAGCTAGAGCAGACCAAACTCCCTACTTCCGTTCTTCACTAGGGGGCGGAGTTGTACGGGAGGCGCCCTCGTGCAGCCAATCCGTGCTAGTGGTTCCTTGCCGCTATTGGCCCGCGGGGGAGTCCGCGTGGGCGGTCACGTTATAAAATTGCTGCACCGGCCTCCGCCGGTGTTCCCGAGCGGCGGTCTCTGCGCTCACGTCTCCTGACTTTGTCGCTGCTGCTCGTGGAGGCGCAGGTGGGTGCGGGGCGCGCGCGGAGGGCAGACCCGGATCGCGGGACCCGTGTCGCCTGGGGCTGCACAACGTCGCGGGCCAAGTGCGAGCTCTGAGCCGGCGTGGGGGGGTGGAGACCTGGCGCCTTCTGTTCCGCCCCCCGCACCGGCGCACTGGGGTCCGAGGCGCTAAGGGTGCGAATTGTCCCAGCTCAGGGGCGCCCCCGCATCCCACTCCTGCGGGACCCCAGATTCTCTACGGGAGGGGCCCAGGGCGGGGGGAGCAGAGCGCGGAGGGCAGCTGAGCTCTGCTGGTCGCCCGGTTCCTAACACGCTGGTATCGGGACCGGTCGTGGGCCGGTGGTTGGCGACCCCTGCTCTCCGGGCAGCCATTGCCCAGGCGTCCCCGGACCGCCTTCCTCCAGCCCTCGGAGCCGAGGGTCCGTGGTGCCCGGGGCTGGGGCTGCCTCCGCTCCACGGGGCGCGCGCCCTGGTGCAGGTGACGCTGGCTCGGCGGAACCTGAGGTGGGTCCTCAGTTTTCTGAGGGGACTGGAGAGTGTCCACGTTCCGCCCGGGCCTCGGTGGAGCCTGGCGGCCGGACTCGCTGCTGTGGGTCTGTGGGGATGTGTGCGGGCCGGGCAAGGGTGGCTCCGAGTCGTGGGCCTGGAGGCAGGATTGGATGGCGAGGAGCAGGGCGGGGCGCGGGCGCGCAGTCGCAGGTGTTGCCACAGCCAAAGCCACCCCATCGACGATGGCGGGAGAGTTTCTCTTAAGAAACGGTCTTTTATTTGCTAGAAATCGACTCCCGTACAACGGGGAGGACGCTTGTTTCTGGAGGACCTGGGCACGGGGCGCAGAGGCTGCGGAGCGCTCCCGGGGGGCGGGGCGGGGGCGGGCCCAGGGGTGAATCCTCAGCACCCCTCTTCCCGGAGCTGCAGGATGTCGGGAAGAGCCGAGGGTGAGCCAGGTCCCCAGCCCCTGGGACACTTGGAGCGGGCTTATCAGCCCAGAAGGAGACAGGCGATGGTGCTGTGCTGGGAATCGGCCACCAGGTGCTGTGGCCTCCTCAGGAAGAGGCCGCAGGGACCAGGTGTGGCCTGTGCCCTGGCCCCACCTCTCCTCTGTCCCACCCCTTTCAGGCCCCTGTGTGTGCAGAGACTGAGTGTGAGCCTGGCTCCTCCTCCCACAACTCGGAGACCTCTTGTCTGTCCTGTGCCGAGTTCTGGGAGGGTGAGTGGGCGCAGTGAAGCGTGGGGCTCCTTGGTTTCTGCAGCCGACCCCGCGACCACCCAGCTGGTAGGAATGACCCTAAGGGCAGGTGTGACAGGTGAACAGTGTGGCCAGGGTGCCCCGCAGTCTGTGGAAGAGACTCGGGTTCCGCCACCTTGGCAGGCACCCTCCACCCACAGGCCCCTGCACTGGGTGGGGGACTTAAATCCAAGCAGGGGCTCAGGCCAGTTAGAAAGGCCGCAGCCTCCCCCCCACACGTCTGCCTCAGTGACAAGTAAGCAGCAAGTTCGGTATCTCCTGAGGACCCAGGGCACCAGGGACCTGGCGGGGCTTTTCCAGAATCCGAGGCTCAGAGAGGTTGAGTGACCCACCTATGGGGGCACAGCCGGGGTCTCCTCCCACCTGTGGCAGGAAGCTCTGGGCCAGGGTTTCTTAAGGAGGGAGAAAAAGGAGAAAAAGAACAAGAGAAACTCACTCTCGAGGGTGTTGCAAGTTCTGCATCCAGGGGACCGTGTGCCAGCAGCACCGTCTGTTGGGGCAACTGGTTGGAGGTCAGCAAGCGTCTGGGAGCTGAGAGTCTGCAGGTGGGACTCAGTTCCCTTGGATCCGTGTCTAGAATTCTCAGGAGCACAGGCTGTTTCTCTGACGTCACATCTGAGTCTGGAGGTCGTCACGCACCTGCTGAGAAAGTACGTGCAGAGGTCAGTGGGGCGGGTCACAAGCTGTGTGTCCTGAAGATCTGGATGTAAAGGTGTCTGACACAGTCACTCGTAAAACATAGAATCTGACCAACGCACACACACATGTCAGTCGGAGCTGGGACTGCCACACACTGTCTGACCACAGAGGGGACCCGAGTCCCTGGGTCTGTTCTTTGGAGAAATATCTGTTCAGGTGGTCGGCCCATTTTCAAAGTCCGATGGTTTGAGGGGATTTTTTGGTCTTAAATGATCTATGTTCTCTGTCCATTTTGGATGTTAACCCCTGGCTGATCGTATCGTCGGCAAAGACCTTGTTCCGTCTTTCAGTTGTCTTTTCGCCGTGTTGCCGGTCCCTGTGCTGTGCAGACCGTTAGTTCCACTGGCCCCCCGGTCCGTCTCCTCCTTTGCTGCCCTCCCCGAGCAGTCGTGCCCGGGAGGTGGCGTGAAGGGCGGAGTTGGAGGGCCCGGGTTTCTGCCCGGGTTCGGTTTGGGGCTTCAGGTTTGCCTCGTTCCCCAGCCTGTGGTCCTTCTTGTACACGGACGGCATCAGGACGTGACCCAGCACGGTCTCATGCACGTGTGTGTGCAGTTGTCCCAGCATCATTTGGAGACACTGTGTGTCCCCCATTGTACGTTCTCGCCTCCTCTGTCATGGGCGAGTTGTCCGTGTAGGTCTTGCTTCGTGTCTGGCTGTCTGTTCCGTCCCATTGACCTGCTCGTCTGTTTTCTGCCAGAGCTTTGACATCAGGGGTTGCGATAGCTTTAATTTTGTTCTTTCTGTAGATGTTTTATTTTGCCACGTGGTGTCCTTCGTGGTTCCCTATAAATTTCAGGATTCCTTGTTGTCCTTCTGAGAAGAAGGCCATCGGCATTTTGACAGGCACAGCCTGAGTGTGCGCTTGGCTTCAGGCAGCAAGGACGGTGTGACAGTGTTGCTCCTGCCGACCCTGAGCTTGGCGTGTCCCCCATGGCGTGTCCCCTTCATTTCCCTTCTCGGTTCTCACGGCCGTCAGGGTGCAGACTGTCCACTCTTAGGGTGCACTTGTCTCCAAGTGCTTTCTGCTTTCTGATGCCGGGCCAGTTTTTCATGGAGAGTAATTCCTGACAGTGTAGTCTGTGGGACTAAGGATAAACATTTTCAGCGCTGGCTGGTGTGGCCCAATGGTTTGACGTCCAGCCTGTGAACCAAAGGGTGGCTGGTGGGTTCCCAGTCTGGACACACACCTGTGTTGTCGGCTGGGCCCCCAGCGAGGGGCGTGCCAGCAGCAGCCAATGAGGGATGTTTCTCTCCCTCTCTTTATCCCTCCCTTTCACTTTCTAAAAAGAAAAAGAAAAACCTTAAACAAACAAACAAAAAAAGCTCAGGATATTTGGTATACAAGGAGGGACTGGAAAACCACCAGGAGTTCCCTTCTGGAGGGCAGGCCCCTTGTGGTCCAGCCTCCCCCACTAGGCGAGAGTCCCAGGAGCCCGTCTGCATCAGTGACCAGCTGGCGTTGTTGTGAGAGGCTGTGCTGGGCCTCAGTGAGTTTTTGTTGACGACTGTTCCAGAGCATTGGCCCAGTTCACGACAGGCGATTTACCATCGCACCTGCCCACAGCACCCAGAATGTATTTTCCGGATGAACAGAATCTACAAAGGGAAACATCCCAACATGTAACACGTGAGACAAAAAGGCAGAAGCACGAAGAGGCGTCAGAGTCGCTGGGGCCAGAGAGTGTCCAGGGCTGTGGAGGGACGTCCCCACGGGTGTCCCCCATCCAGGACAGAGCATTTGAGGGTGACTGAGGGTTAAAGGTGTGAGAATGAATACTCAGTTTTTATAAGTAAATTCTCTTTCTGGATTGGCCCCATGTACATGCAGCCAGACGCATCCACAGGTGTCCACAGTCACAGGAAACAAAGGATGTAATTACCATTGTGAGTTATTGAAGTTTCATTCTTCTGTATTTTATATCTTAAAATGATCTATGATAGGAATGAAAAACAGTAAATATCCTCCAGAATATGTGCAAATGTGTTCCCCACTGTGGAAACTTTTAGACTTTAACACACTCATATAATTTTATTTTTTTTCTTTGTACTGTTTAAATACAGTTGTCTCCATTTTCCCTGAACCACTCACCCCCAACCCAGCCATCCCCTAAAACAGTCAGATAATTTAAAGCACAGGGTGCAAAGGCCCTGGGCTTCTGCCCTGGGTGACAGGGACCCCCTGGGAGGGGCTGAGCAGGAGGGAGGTGAGGGGGTGGGAGGCGCTGGCTGCTGTGCGGAGCTCGGCCTGCAGGGGGCAGCAGCGGGATCAGGGACTCAGAGCACAGGGCCTGCCTTCCTCAGAGGGTGGTCTGGGGGCAGGCACCTGGCTGGGGCAGGGAAGTGTGGGCAGGTGGAGGGCTTCTGAGCAGGTTGGCACAGGAGAGCCTGGTGCTCCCTGCTGGTGAGGAATAAGGTACGTCCATTACGGCTCCATGTTTCCTGGCTGACTTCCATGGTGGGATCCAAGGTGAAGAGACACCCAAGGGGACATTTGCGGAGGAGGCTCTGGGGTCCCCAGTGATGGTGGTGGTGACAGGGCCGGGCCTGGGGAGGCAGCCTCTCCATGTGGCATTCTCCTCCCCCTTCCAGGTGGTCACTGCTCCCCAGGCCCTGCTGGCCTCTCTCTGTGCACAGCAGGTCAGGATGGTGAGGTGCCTGGTCCCCCGTCTGCCTGCCCTCGCTGTCTGCCTCACCCTGGTCCAGCTGCTCAGCCCCTGCTCAGGTAGGACCTGCCCTGTGTCTGTGTGTCTGAATCCCTTACCTTTGGGCCCAGCCAGAACCCGGACCCCTCCCACCCCTGCATGGCATGTCCTCACTGCACCTGTGTTAGGACTGAGTTCCCCTGTAGGTGTGTGTCACCTCGCCCTCCCTGCCTGGGACATGCCCTGGCCGTGCTCACTCTGACGGAGCCCCCCCCTTTCTGATGACCAGCTGACTTTGCTGTGGTTGGACCCACTGACCCCATCCGGGCCATGGTGGGTGGAGACGCTGACCTGCCCTGTCACCTGTCCCCGAAGAGGAGCGCTGAGAGCATGGACTTGAAGTGGGAGCGACCCAGCCGCAGGCAGGTGGTGCTCACGTACACACACGGGCAGGAGGACACGCCGGCAGAGGAGTATCGAGGGAGAACTTCGGTTTTAAGAGAGAACGTCACTGCGGGGACGGCTGCTCTGCGGATTCGCAACGTCACAGCCTCAGACAACGGGACCTACGTGTGTTACTTCCAAGACGGAGATTTCTATGCAAAGGCCCAGGTGGAGCTGCAGGTGGCAGGTGAGCCTCAGGTTTGTTCTGGGCTCCTCTCTGTGGTCCGGGGGCAGAGGCTGCAAAAGCTGCCCCGGAGCAGGTGGGGCTGCTCACCAGCAACCCCCCCACCTCCATCTCTGCTACTCCAAGGCCGAAGACAGACCCAGGTGTCCCCTGGGATGACTTCATCCTGAATCCAGTACAGAGTCCCCCGTGCCACCCACCAGTCTCAGCAGGGAAAGGAGGTCAGGGACAGGAAGGATGAGGACACTTCCTTGCAGTGGGTGTAACATGAGTGTTTGGATTCAGTATGATCCAGACAGTGGCCAAGGGACCCCAGGTGTCAGCTGCTGTGGGTCCAGGAGGCTGAGCTGGAGGGACCACACCTGTGGGGCCCACGTCCCCCACCAAATCCCTGGGAACGTACGTGCAGTTGATCAGGTTGTTTCTGTCCTCGGAGCAGTGAGGACAGGGACTCTGGGGTGTCTCACGGGGCGTCAGGGAGCACTCTGTGCAGTTTGGGGGGATGTGGAAGTAGCGCTGTGCACTGGTGCCGACGCTGTCAGGATGGTGCGGGGTTGTCACTGGTCACTCTCAGCTGGCACAGGGAGGTTGGTCACTGCACACGGTTCCTGTTTTCTCTGTGCTGTCACCCAACCCTTGAGTGACCTTGATGTTGCCCTGACCCATCCCAGTGACCAAGCGCCTTGTCTGAGGTGCTCATGTCCAGGCGTCTGGGCTACAGTTTCCATTCCCTGGACACAGCTCTGCTCTGTGGCTGCCAGTGCAGGGGGCCTGGTAGGGCATGGACGGTGCGGGCCCCTGGCCTTGAACCCCACGGCCACCTCCTCAGCCTGGTGCCCCTTCCTGGAGAACATGGCTCCCCCGACGGAGCCCTCCCTACAGGACTCAGTGTTTCAGGTCCTCACAGGGCTTCCTCCCCCTCCTCGTGTTCAGGGTGTGGGGACAGGTGGCAGTGAGTCTCCTCTGTCTGGCCCTGGGTCCGCCGTGTTCTGTGTGAAAGTCCCCCCTGCACACACTTCCGGGGGCGTCCCTGCAGGGGGAGCCCAGCAGCCTGGCAGTAGGTGCAGCCAGAGCCTCCCGAGGGGCCTTGCACACAGGTCACCGCTCGGGCGGCCGCGGGACACCGGGTGTCTCCTCCTGCTCACTGGACGGCACAGCCCCCACAGGACAGAAAGGGTCAGTGGGTGGGACCCCTTTGGGTAAGGGGCACCACCTCCATGTTTGCCCAGGGTGGGGGAGGGGCTGTGCCTGGGACCAGCCTGGCTGGGGCATGGGGGAGGGGAAGCTGGGGCAGTCTGCAAGGGGACTCAGGGGGAGCAGCCTCCGCTCTGGCCCAGGTCCCCCTGGATCCAGTACGAGGGTCCAGCCATGGTCAGGCAGTGTCCCCATCAGGGGTCAGTCTGCTGCACAGCACACGCTGGGAACAGCTCCTGGTGAGTCCCTGCTGGACTGGTCAGTGTGGGTGCCCCTCCCTGCTGTGGAGACCCCACCAGTGCGGAGGGCTCCCCATGATTCAGATCACTTTTCCTTCCCTGCACTGGGCTCCGATCCCCACATTGAAATGAAGGGCTACAGGGCTGGAGGGATCCTTGTGAACTGCACGTCTGCCGGCTGGTACCCGCAGCCCAAAATAGAGTGGAAAGACACCAGGGGACAGAGAATTTCCAATGAGGTGGTCACAGAGGCCACAGACCCCCAAGGCCTTTGTGCAGCCTCATCCTCTGTGATCCTGGAAGGTGGCTCTCAGGAGGGGGTCTCCTGTGTCATCAGAAACCCCCTGCTGGGCCAGGAAAGGTCAGCGGGGCTTTCCATGGCAGGTGAGTGCCCTGCCCACTGCCCTGGGCTCCTGGGTGTGAAGGGTTAGTGGTCTGCTGCTGGCCTGGGACACTGTAGGGCGCACATGGCACAGGGACCTGTGGTTCAGTTTATGTCACAGACACCTTCTGGGCACTTCCTGTGTGTCACACTCGGTTCCAGGCAATGGGTCTTGGGCACAAATAGTCAAGATCAACAAACACACTGGGAGAGGGAATAATAGGTACAACCGAAATCTCAATAAAAGAGCTCATCTCCTTTCAATATAAAGCACACAGTAGATAAACAAGCAAAAACAGGAATCGTCAGTTCACAGAAAAGTAAAACTCACGGGACAATGCCAAATCTGACTGAACAGGGAAGTATTTCCACCTGTGAAACTGGCAGAAGGAAAGACAAGGTCGCGGGCGCCCCCTGGTGGTGGGCTGTGGGGAGACAGTCCCTCAGACCTTAGTTGTCACAGGAAGAGAGAGGACACAGCATGTGCACAGGTTGCATAGGGGCTGATTTTGATGCAGACAAGATAAAATATGTTTAGTTTTTAAAACCTACTGAAACCAGTGTGGCAGTGACCCTGTGTCAGGCCTGTACAAGCATTAACTTAATGCTCTCAGTGATCTGGACGCCAGCAAGAGGTGGTGACATCATTAGTTCAGGGTCACAGTGCTGGTCAGGCAGGTGACCGGGGACTGGAACCCAGGCCCTGCAGCCCCAGAGTTCCGATCTTCATCACCAGGCTCCGCTGAGTGGGGGGCAGATGATCAGTGGAGGGGTGCAGAGGCGACTTCAGTGACACTGCTGCCTCGTACCGGATCTGATTCCATGGGGGGAGGCAGACGTTCCAGGAGAAACGTACTTACTGTGTGACACTAAGAGTTCTGGGCACTGTGAGGACAGGCAGGTCATTTCAGGGGCTGACGCTACCCCTTTGCAGGTCCCTTCTTCAGGAACGCAGAGCCTCAGATGGCATTTATCACCCCAGTCCTGATTGGTATCCTGCTCCTGTTGGGAGTGTTGTGCTTGGGAGTGTCGTGCTTGGTGTGGCGACGGCCGCAGGTGATCCGGGCCTCGTCCCAGGAGGAGGGGAGAGAGCAGGAGCTGCAGCGGGTGGAAAGCGCCCAAGGTGAGGCCCAGCTGCAGGCGGCCGCCTCCTCCCTGCCCAGCCCACACCCACCACCCGGGTCCTCCTCTGTATCCGCTGACAGGACTGTATTTTCTGTTTATTTGCAGAGACGCTGCAGGACGAGCTCAGTAAGTGCCCATCCCCGTCCCTGGGCATCCTGGGGCCCCTGGTGACAAGGTCACTGACTCTGTACATTGTTCCCTGCAGGGTGGACAAACAGCAGGTACCGAGCACATGAGTGCCCCGGACCCGCATCTCAGCCTCTGTTCTCGGTTAGTTTGGCCCCGCTCCTCACCCCTAATCGCCCAGGGGGAGGAATGGGGACACTGATGGGGGCCCCAGGCAGTGGTCTCTCTCAGTGGGGAAGAGCCTGAAGCCTCTCTGCACAAGGTGTTGCGGACCCAGACTCCTGAGGACACCAGGGAGCCCCATAAATAAACCCTGGCCTGTTGAGTCCCCGGGGGCTGCAGCGCTGCTGTCGGGGGCAGGAGGGTGCAGGCCTCCAGCTGCTCCCGTGATGGGCCAGGTGCTGCTTGTACTCTCCCCCTCTGACAGCTCAGGGGGACCCCCCACGTGACATCCGAAGGTGGGGCAGTCTCAGTCCAGCGAGGTTACAGACCTCGCCCTGCTGTCCCACAGCTGCACAGGAGGGGGCAGCCTCAGAGGACACATCACCCCCGGAGCTCCCCACCCTCAGGCCCCCAGGCCCTTCTGCCAGACTCACTGGTTCCATGTGAAGGAGCGTCGGGCCTGTCAGGAGCCCGGCCAGGTCACATCTTACTGCGCTCTCCTGTCCCCGAGCCTGGTCCCTCCTGTGAGGGCAGCCTGGGCGCCCAGGGCTTCCCCCCACCCCTGGGTCCTGGGCTCACGGCACACAGCCCACGCCACACCTGCCTTCCAGGAACGAGGCCAAGTCTCCCTCCTTGGTTTTCTTTTCTCAGCCACGAGCAGGATCTACTTCGAATTAGGGCAGGAGGTTCCCAAAAGTCACTGTAGGATGTTCATGAGGTTGGCCAGACTGGAGGAGAACAACATCGTCATTTGTGAGCACGAGAACCCAGGGAACCTGCCGGAGCAGCACCACGGGATGCTGCTGTGCTGGCAGAGCAGCTGGGGCGTGCGGCGACCCCCCTCCAGGCTCACGGCGGCCCCTCTGTGAGATGCGGCTGCGGGAATGTCTGGGAAACAGCATAAACAAGCTGGCTGCGGAGGATATCTCAGGGAGTGAGGACACAGAGTCCCGAACTAGTCAGCCTTTTTGGCAACGGCTGTGACTTAGTGGCATCCTGGGGTCTGGCCTCCCCCAGGTCCCTTCCTGTGGGCGCCTTCACAGATCCCAGATGGGACGGAGCCCCTCTGTGTCCAAGTAGGTTCTACCGGAAGCTTCTGCTGGGGGGCCCTCTGCCCGCGGCCCATGTGGCCCACGGGCTGCTCCTCTGGGGGCTCCGGGGGCCTGAGCTGCTCAGGGAGGACCCGCTGGGTGTACTCAGTGGGCCCACAAGCCATGGCCTCCTCTCGAACACAGGGCAGGAGGGCTGGCTGGTCATCTGTGTGACCCCAGTAGCTCACTCCTTGTTCTCCCAGGCACTGCGATGTGCCCAGGCTTCCACTTGGGAGTGTCATACCTGGGTGACACTTATAAGTCAGTCCATGACAGACAAACCAGCGGCCACTCTCAGTTGTCACTAGGTCAGCTGGGGCAGGGCATGGGGACAGTTATTGTCACATGCCAGCTATAGAGTCCTTTGTACAGTTCTTTAAGTGGTTAATTATATGTTTTTACTAACTTTCCTTATCTATTAAGATTTATATCTTAAATAGTATTTTCACATGCTTTTATACTTTTTTCAGCAGTAAAATTTATATTCTAAATCGTGTTTTCTGTCATTCCTGTTACGTGAACAACTTTGGGTGTTTTGTTCTTGGGAGGTGACATCCTGTACAGAGTCATGGGAACCTTGGGTGTGTTTTGTGGGTGCAGGGCCCTGAATCAGGGACTAGAGCCTGGAGTGTCCCCTTGTGTGTTTTCTGGTGTCCCCAGGGCCTCTGTCCCTGGGAATGACAGCACCGTCCCTCCAGTGCTCCCCTGAGAACGAACCCACCCTGCCCCTTCTCACTCACCCAGAACAGTACCAGTCCTTGGAGATGCTCCCACTCGGACCCGCACTCCCGTGGGGCCGAGCACCCTCAGCCCCCATGTAGTCACTCAGTGACGTCACTGCCACTCCGGCCAGCCTCTCCCACCCAGAACCGTGGGCGTCATCCCCACAGGCATCTCCCTGGGCCCCCTCACCCCAGGGTGTGGTGGTCCCACGTCCCTCCCCAGACCTGTGTGCCCGGCCCCCTAGGCCCTGCCTCCGTTCACACTGCTGCCCGTCACTGACTCAGCTCTGTCCACTCCGGCTCCCTTCCTGCCTCCGCAAGTCCAGTCTCCTCCACTAGCCCTGGACTGGGGGTCAGAGCAGGGGTCTGGCCACCGCCCTCCTTCCCACCCAGCATTACCCCCTGAGGCGGGTCTCTACCATTCCTCGTGTTCCCCAATCCGTGCCCAAACCCAAATCTCTTCCTGATGTTGCTGCGTGCGTTGTGGTCACACTGAATTTGTCAGCAGCTTGCCTTCTCCTGAGGTCTTTCGCAGGACAGTACACCCTGCCTTGAACGCAGTCCCCGTCGTCCATCCCCAAAACCTTCCAATTTTAGTATATGTGCTGCCGAAGCGAGCACCCAAAACCTTCCTTCTTAGCCTCCTTGGAACTGGTCACCCGTCCAGACCAGCAAATTGCAGCCCCAGGATGTCCTCTGACCATTTGCCTGGGGCTCCTCCCCACTCTGCGCCGGGTCTCTGGTGGGACCGCCCTTTCTCCCAGCACCGATCGTGGTCCTGGAGACAATGCTCCTGCTAGCGCTCTGCTGCCCTGCAAAGACTACAACTCCCAGCTTCCCGCGGGAGGGCAGCGGTTGCCTAGCGACTCGGCGTGTCTGGGGTGCTAAGCAGGGTTGGGGGTGGGACGCGGCGAAGGAGGCGGGACTTCCGTGCCGGCAGTTGCATCAGATTCTGGGTAGGAGTCGCCGGGGTTGCGAGTCAAGGATTCTTAGGATGGCGGGGTCCTCTGAGGAGCAGGGTGAGTGCACGCGACGGGGCGCTCGAGGGGTGACCCCCAACCAGGGGGCTGTTCCGCGCGTCAGTTAGGGGCGCCGCCCGACCCGAAGGGTCTGTGTCCCTGGTTTTGAGGGAACAATCTTCCCGGCCGGGCGGGGCCCGAGACTCCTAGGCGACTCTCTGCCGGGCGAAGAGGAGGGCGCGGGACCCCAGCGGGCGGAGCCTGAGCTCGTGACACCCTTCAGACACTGGCCCCTGGCTCGAGCCCCGGGAGGCCACCCCTTGCCCAGTGTCAGTACCTCCTTGGGCCGTGCCGTTGTCCTGTTGCGCCCCACACCCGGTATTGCCCTGCGTGTCCCCAGCCGGGTATTGCCTTGCTGTCCCAGCTAGACTTCGTGGACAGGCGGAGCTGGAGGAGGGCTTGGGTTTCCGCCGGGCCCTGCATCATCCGGGAGTGGGTGGAGGGCGCCCGAGCTTGGCACTTAGGAAAATGGGGCTGCGGAAGCTGGGGGACGCGGCTCACATGAAAGTACGGGGTTTAACGACGGCGTTCCTCGCGGCCGGCAAACCGCGCATTTGGGCATCATGACCCCTTTATTGGCCCGGAGGTTCGGTGAGCAGCCCTGGCAGCCCTGCCCACCCAGTCACTGGCATCACTGGGGTGGACTGGGGTGTCTGCAGGCTGGTGCCCAGGTACCCGTGGATCCCTGACAGTCTAGGCGGACTCTCCTCAGGACAGACGCTGCGTGGGGGTGTGTCCCCTCGGCTGGCGGAAATGAGAGGCCAGCTTTTCTGAGACACCCCAGCCCCCAGCGCCCGCAGTTCAGGCTGTGCCAGGCCCTTGGCCCCCGTGGTCCCCTGCTCCTGAGGGTGTGGTGGGCCTCCAGGTGGGGGGCTCGGTGACAAGGGAGGCACCCAGGTGACAGGCCACTGAGCCACTCCAGCACCCACTGTCAGGGCGCCCTGCAGGGCACTGACGGGTGCCTGGATGCCAGCGCCATCCCCACGCACAGCCAGGGTTCACAGGCGGACTGGGGAGCAGGCAGGCTGGGCTGGGCCCCAGCAGCAGTGGACAGAAAGGCCTTCGGGGGGCGTGGGCCGGGGACAGGCCGTCCTGGTGGGAAAGGGCAGCGCAGGTCCCAACGTCTCTCCCGTGTTCTTGGCCCATGTTTCACCACAACTGGCCTGGCTGTGGTGCTCCGTTACTTTCCGCGGCTTCGGAACGTGAGCTTCTCGGGGCCTTGTTGAGAGGTGCCCTGTGTTGCACCAGGAGGCCTGGGGTGGGACCCCCCCACCAGGGAGGTCCGGATGGCTCACGGGCTTCCCTTCCCCTTGGGGCGTCTCCTGGTCCCCCTGGGTCCCTGTGTGGACGATGGGACCCCCAGGGAGATGGGACAGGGTGCACAGAGCCACCAGGGTTCTGGAGGGTCTTGGGACCCAGTCTCCGGAGGCTGCGGGTTCCCAAGAGTGACCGTGTCCGCAGACTTCCTCAGAGGCCTTCATCTTGAATAGTCGGCCTGTTTCAAGTCACTTTCTCTAAGTTGACTCAGAGCGTGTGGTCCCCAGTGATGACATGGAGTGCACGGCCTCCCCTTTTAGCTTGAAGGTGTGCGTGGCTGTCCAGGGGGGCAGGCCTCCTCTCTGAGGTCCCCGGGTCGGGGCGCCTCTCCAGGGCCGTGCCCTGCAGCTTCGGGGCCCATTGGCGGCCGCCGCCTGGGGCAGGCTCACAGCTGCATTTCCAGCACAGTTTCCCTCCGAGGGTCCTCACAGCAACCCTGCAGCACGAGGGTGTGGCCGGTCCTGGACGCGACACCTGTTATGGCCTGCGACCCTTGGAGCAGCCCTCTGCGGAGGGTACCACCCTTACCCTCCTGGACAGTGAAGCGAGACGCTTTCGGGTCAGAGAAGCCCAGTGACGTGGCCAAGGCCACAGCTGGTCATGGGGACTGGGCTTCCAGCCTCGGCCAGTCACGTGCAGCAGGGAGCCCAGCCACCACCCGGCGGCCTTTGGGGGCTGTCTGCAGAATGACAGCAGGGCCCCTTCCGGAGTTGGGGGCAGCTGGGGTAAGTAGACAGGGTGGCCCCATTTCCCAAAGAAAGAGGAAGTGCATGTGTTTGTAGCCTCAGGTCAAGGGTCACCTGGTCACCTCCCACTGGTCACTCACCTCCAACTGTGCGTGCTGCTGGGTGGGCCAGGTCCAGCCAGGTGGTTCAGAAAACAGGCCGCTTCCACTGGGCTGCACCGTCTGCCAGACCCTGCTCGGGGTCCTGGCCTGCCAGTCGTCCCAGCAGGAAGCGGGGCCGGGGTCTCGAGGGAGCTCTGTGGGTGGTGGGCCCGCTGACCAACCCCTTCCCGAGCCAGGAGCCAGAGACAAGGACCTGGTCTGGGACTTCCCACCCCCAGCACTCTGCCCTCCAGGAGTGGGGGGTGGCAGGGAGGGGCAGGGCAGAGAGCCCAGCGTCACTTTCCAGCAAGTTCCTGAGGCCAGAGAGTGCAGGGGGGATGCAGGTGGGTCTGGGCGCTGGGTCCACAGGGCCTTGGACCCGTTTGCAGGATTCCGGGCTTGCCTTGACTGTTGGAAGGGTCATCCGCCTCTGCCGCACAGGGGAGGTGGGAGGGAGGGGAGGTGACGCAGGGAGACCAGGGAGGACCCACGGCGGCAGTGGCTGGAGCTGGGGGCAGTACTGGGCAGGCTGGGAGAACCGAGGTTGGTGCTGGGTTCGAGAAGGGGGGCAAGCAATGGAGGTGCCTAGCTTCGGCCCCAAGGGGGAAGACAGTCATCCATTCTCTGCGACTGGTGCCCAGGTTCAAACCGAGACGCGATGCCTGGGGACACCCTGGGGACAAGTGACAAGTAGACTTCGGGCTGGTGCTCAGCAGGGAGGAGGAGGCCCACGGGGGAGGCCCTGGGTCCGGCAGGGTGGCTTGCCCAGTGGGTAGAGAGCGGGGTGCACGCACCCTCTGGGATGCGCTGCAGAAGCCTTTCCCAGCGCCTGTGGGGGAGCCAGCCACCGGGGCACATGCGGCCCCAGCACAGCAAGCCTGGGGGCTGCGGGCCCCCAGCAGGGGCAGCAGCAGAAGACAGTGGGTCTAGGGCAGCTGGGGGAGCATGGGAGGTGGGGGGTGGGCAGGGCTGGTGCTGTTGGGGCACCTCCCAGGTCTCCCCTGCTGTGGGACCCATGTAAATGGGGGTGCAGGGAGACAGGAGGACTGTGCCCCCAGGTGGTGGGAGTGGAAGGCGGAGGCGCACAGGGTTCAGTACTGGGAGGGGCACAGAGGGGCTGCAGGGAGCCTGTCCTGGGCTCAGGGCAGGGGTGGAGCGAGTTTGGTTCGGCACCTCTGCCGAGGGGCGCCCTCATCCCCCCATCCTTTTGTGGTCAGTCCGTGCTCTATGCAGACATCAGCTCTCTAAGCAGGTGGTGCGGCCAAGTTTACAGTGTTCCCGCCATCAGAGAGCGGCCGTCCTGTGACGTGTTTCCCCACAGAAATGCCAGTGGACTGGCCATGTGGTTGTCCCTTCCAGTGGCCCGGCGGGAGTTTGCTGTGGGGCCCAGCGTGGGGGCCACTGCAGGTGAGTCCTGGCTGGGGGCCTCTTGTGTGCCCTCGATTTCTCGGGCAGGTAGCCGGGTGCCGCCTGACCCCAACCCGCCTGCCTAGAAAGCTGACCTGTTCAATCCGGTTCCTCAAGATACTCCAGGTGCAGCGACTGCAATTACGCTGGTGCCCGCCTGCCTCCCAGCCCGAGC